AGATAACAGCAACCACGGTCTTAACATAAATGTAAGTCATAAACATAAATACTTGATAAACTGAAAAGTGTAGGCTATTTATTTAACATTTTATGAGACGATATGTATTTGAACTAATTTTGAACCTGGGTCATAAACAACTTGAATTCCAGTCTATTACAGCTGGATATAGTTATGTCTGATACAAGTTAAAATGAGATATACCGTAATATGACTCCCACCCAGGAGCAGACTCAGATTCCTGCTCAGCCTGAACCAATTAACATCGATTGCGACAATTCGAAAAATTGTGAGGGGAGTTTCGTTCTAACCCCAACAGAGACCCAGCCTAGTTTTCAGCAGTCCCAACACTATAATAGTACCCAGTACCTAGTTTATTGGAGAAAAAGTGGGCCTATGGGTTGTTTTACTAAATTGTTGTTGTTATTGTTTTTTAATTTTCTTTACGTCCAATGGGTTCTTATATTTTACCGCAAAGCTCCCCAGTTTGGCATATATTTACGCTATCACGTGTCACTCCATTAGTTTATTCCACAGATACTTTGACCAAAGCCGGTTCTCAGCTAGAGCCTTACCGGTACCGATGTGAATTTTTGGTTAAAGTTGTTATTAGAAATCGCTGATTTAAGCCTCGTATCAGTCATTCGATTCCAATGCCCATATATATATTTGAGCAATGCTCACTTGAATTTTATATTACTTAACTATTTTACCTTTGCGTGGGAAGGTTTTATTAAACCAAACTTTGTTGGAAATTTGAACGAGATAATGCGGAGAACACAAAAGATAAGAACATGCTGAATTGTTGCTATCGTAGTCCACAGGTCAACTGCCAATGTCAGCTGAAAAAATTTAAGTATTGTCGATTAGTAGTGTCGAATGTTGTTCTACATTCGTGATTGAGTTCTTTGATACGAAGGATCATTTATTAGCAGTTATACACAAAGACATAATATGCAAGGCGCTTACTCGGTGACAACCATAACTCCAATGAATAAACAGTACGTCATCGCGTACGAACACTATGTAAAGAGGTCAATTGTGATGTCATAGAATAAGTAGGTCATAAGTATAAATAAACAATATGCACCATATTGACATCTCCCCTTTTGTAAATGAAAAGCTTTGCAATGTATATATCACATGAAAATTCAACAACGAAAGTTAAACATGGACTATGTAAATTTCACTCTAATTCAATATCATCATTTATAACTATGCAACATAATCATGATATCTATTGTTCGGTTTAGACACACGACCACTTCTTGTTATGTAATGATGTGAATGGTTAACATGACTAGGTGGTCGTTTAGGAGGGAATATTGGCATGTTGACTGTGAAGTGTTAGATGACATTGGTATAGGTAAAATCTGGGTCATCCTACACTATAGAGGGGTCAAATCTTTCTTGTACATGTAGAAGATGTCTCGATTTCTTCTGTAATCTTTTCCATTTGCAGAAACTATGTAGGACCTTGGCTCAGGACCTTTTTTTTTAATAATTCCAATTATGTTGTAAGCCCTTGTCTGTTTGTAATCTCACTTATCTCCTCTCTGAAGTGGTGGTAAAGACTTGGCTGTTTTATCAAAATACTTTTTCTGTTGCATGCGTTTATGAGTAAGTTGAGCATGAACTTGTGTCGTTGGAACAACTTTTGGTTCAAGCAAACTTTTTGCTATTGGCAAGTTGGATTTTATACGACGTGCTAACAGCCGTTGAGCAGGAGATCCCAAAACATCATCTCTTGGTATATTTCTCTGGTTTAAAAGTGCAATGTAAGGATCACTCCCATCTCGTTTACACTTCTCAAGTAGAGTTTTTGCAGACTGTACTGCTCTTTCGCTATACGAGTTAGATTGGGGAAAATGAGGACTGCTGGTAATGTGTTTGAATCCCCATTCTTTTGCAAATTGTTTAAATTCATGGCTGCAGTACACTGAACCATTGTCTGAAAATAACGAATCTGGGACGCCAAATCTTGAAAAATGATTTTTCAGCTTTTGTATTACTGTTCTCGAGGTAGTATTTGGCAAAGAATTGATCTCATACCAACCAGAATAAGAATCAACAGTGACTAAATAGTCGAGTCTGTTCCACATGAATAAGTCAGTTGCAACATATGACCATGGTCGATCAGGTACTGGGTGCATTTTCAACGGTTCTTTCTGCTGGTGAGGTTTATAACTGTTGCAGACAGCACATTGAGAGACATAAGTTTCAATGTCCTTGTTCATCTCTGGCCAGTAAGTAATATCACGAGCTCTTCTTTTTCGACTCCATCCCTGGGTGACCTTTGTGAAGTTGATTCATGTACTCTTGTTTTAACAAAGTGGGTACAATAACTTTTTCTCCTTTAAAAATGATACCATCATTCGAGGTAAGTTGATCTCTGAAACCAAAATATAGTTTGCAATCTCGTGGAATGTCTTTTACATGTTCTGGCCATCCATGTTGAATAAATCTATTCAATTTCTGCATCGATTCATCAGCAGCTGTTTCTCGCCTCAATTGCTCTATTCTCGGTGGAGAAATAGTTAATATTTGTAAAACTTCATATTCTTTCTCATCTTCATCAGGGCTTTCTTCGAGATATGCCCGCGACAGGGTATCAGCGATATGAAGGTCTTTTCCTTTTTTGTAGACAAGCGTAATGTCATATCTCTGAAGTAGCATCATCATTTTTTGTAAACGAAGAGGTGCAGCGAGAAGAGATTTTTTGAAAATCGTTTCCAGTGGTTTGTGATCAGTCTCCACTGTTACACTTTTGCCATATATGTAATCATGAAATTTTGTGCAGGCAAATACAATCGCAAGTAATTCTTTTTCAATCTGTGCGTAATTTTCTTGTGATTTTGTGAGTGCTCTAGATGCGAATGCAATAGGTTGTCCATTTTGCAAACATGCAGCTCCAAGTCCACTTTTAGAAGCATCACATGTCAAAAGTACTGGTTTATTGACATCATAAAATCTGAGCGTTGACGCATTAATAATTGCTTCTTTGATTTGATTGTATGCTTGTTTCTGTGGTGTGTCCCATGACCACAAAAATCTTTATGCAGCATTTCTCGTAAAGGTTGAGACAATTGACTGAGTTTGGGTATGAATTTCCCCAAATATGTTACCATGCCTATGAAGCGTTGAAGAGCTTTTGGTCCATCAGGTTCTGGCATGTCTTTTACTGCACGAACTTTTTCAGGATCAGGTTTTAAACCATCCTTGGTAAGTAGATGACCAATGTATGAAATTTCTGTTGTTTTAAACTTGCATTTCTTCAACTTCAGCTTCAAATTAACTTGACGAGCTTTTTGTAAAACTAGACGTAAATTTTTATCGTGTTCTTCGACATCTCGACCACAAATTAGTATATCATCAACAATGATATGACATGGACAATCACTGAACAATTGATCCATCGTGTTTTGGAACACTTCTGCGGCTGAAACAATCCCAAATGGCATGCGCGTAAATCTGTAGCGGCCATATGGACTATTGAAGGTGGTCAGGTATGAAGAATCTTCATGCAAGGGAATTTGCCAGTAACCACTAGATGCGTCTAAAACTGTAAAACATTTTGCATCTGGTATGCGTGCAGCTATTTCTTCTATTGTTCTCATAGGATAATGTTGTCGCTTTATCGCTTGGTTAAGATCCCTTGGGTCAATACAAATCCGAATATCGTCAGAATGTTTCTTTTTGACAGCCAACATAGAAGAAACCCATTCAGTAGGCTTTGTTACTGGTCTGATAACATCCATTTTGGTCATTTTATCGAGTTCGGCTTTAACTTTCGACTGGAGAGCAACTGGTATGCGTCTCGGAGGTCGAACAACAGGACGAACGGTTTTATCGAGCTTGATTTTGTACTCGATTGGTAACTTTCCTAGTTCCCCATCAAATAAATCACTGAACTCGCGTTTAATGTAATCTTCTTTCATCAAGTTGTACGTGTTTGCTATCTTCTTTTCTGGTTTCACTCCGTGCACATCATGAAGCTTGATCAGTCCTATCCTGATGCTATCTTCGCAACCGATGAGAGGTTTCGCTTCTCGATCAATGATGTGAAATTTCAATTTGTATGTAGAGCCATTACGAATGCAATTAATCAAAGTGTTGCCTAATGTATCAATATTGTTTCCACTATAGCTGACAAGTTTTGCTGGATTTCGTTTGTCAATCCATTCATGTTTGCGTATGCGTTTGAATAAGTTAAGAGGCATAACATTGCAACGTGCTCCTGTATCTACTTTCAAATTCAGCTCTTTCGCATGAATAGTAACTTGGCATTAAAATTCAGACACTGCTGTGTATTGTCATCAAGTGAGCCAACTCATATGTTTCGAATCAGTCGTTTCATGATTTGTTTTTCTTGGTTTGACATTCTGTGTCTTTATCTACAGAATTTACAGGTTTTGCGAAATTCTGATAAAATTGAGTTGCTGCGGTTTGCAGGCTTAGTTCGGCATACATTTCTGAAAGTGGTTCATCTTTCCGCAACTTCTGCATTGCTTGTTTAAATGCAGGACATAGTTCTCTAGTATTGGCATGCTTACGTCCACAATTATGACAAATTTTGAATGAAGAATCTTGCCTTTGTTTTCGCTTTTGGTTTGACGATATAAATCATGAATTCATCTTCTTTAAAATCATCCGCAATTAGTTGTATCCGCTGGTCGGACAGCTCATTAATCTGACAAATGTTGATAGCTTGTTCAACGTTATAGATCATCTTCGCGGTAGAAGTAGTCTTAAACTTTGTCATATTCTATATACACACACACAAGCCTATCACAAATAATTCATCTTTCATGTCACCAAATTTGCATGTGCTAGCTTTGCTCTCAGCCAAATATGCTGAAAGGGTTCACATGGATGCTGGATTCCTTGTCTGTTGAATTGTGTCGTCAACAGTTTATTTGTTATTCGGTTATACACGATGGCTTTAAATTTCTCCATGTAGACACTGCGGGTCTCACGGGTTTTCTCATCTGTGTAGTACTGAAGTTTTTCTCTCTCTCGATAGCTCATAGGCCAGCTAGGCTAAGAAAATATGGCCTGTGTGCTTTATCTTATGTCGTTGTGCAAAGCAGCTAAAATAGACTTCAAAAATTCGAGCGAAAACCTTCGCCAGTTTTCCGCAATATTACCTTGAAATAACAATGGTCCGGGACATCGTATGCCACTGTCCGCCATCTTGAAAATATCGTTAGGTTTTTCAGGCTAACGTTGTTGTGCTGCGCTCTGCAGGCTTACTGTGAAAATTTTCGAAGGTAACTATTCCGATCCGACGTCTATCCCGCTTCTGACACCATGTCGAATGTTGTTCTACATTCGTAATTGAGTTCTTTGAAACGAAGGATCATTTATTAGCAGTTATACACAAAGACATAATATGCAAGGCGCTTACTCGGTGACAACCATAACTCCAATGAATAAACAGTACGTCATCGCGTACGAACACTATGTAAAGAGGTCAATTGTGATGTCATAGAATAAGTAGGTCATAAGTATAAATAAACAATATGCACCATATTGACACTTATATAGCCTTATTATTCAAGGGCTCAAGAAATATAAATAAATCTGTTTAAGTCGCGACAAAGAGATGGTCCTATCTGGTGTGCGTCAGTTCAATCAGATGCCCAACTCTCACAAAACAAAAATTATAACATGTTGCACGGTCCTTCTGAAGTATGCGCACCAAGATGTCGCATACCCTGAACGATTTGCTTTTCAGGTACTCGCCATAGAGCATTCATTTCTTCAGAAAAAATAGTATGGATAAGTAGTAAAATTTAGGTATTGTTTGCATTTTCATCAACCCACAGAATGACTAGGAGATTAAACCAAGAAATGAGGTGCAAAGTTAACAAAATAACGCATTCACCTACAGTAAGTAGGCTAGCGTTGCGCTACACAGCAACAACAGTAACGAGAACATGTTCGTGTATTATGCTGGATGACTGAACGCCAAAGCGGAACTTTTGGCTGACTTGTCGGGACGGCGGGACAAGACGCTAAAGAGCGGGACTGTCCCGCCTAAAGCGGGACGTATAGTAAGCCTACCAGTATAGTTTGCCTTTTTTATGTCATTGGTATCTTCTTGGTCACGTCGACGCACGATCCACGATTATGGTGACGTCGTTGGCGACGTACCTGACGTTGATACGCAGCGCACGACTACGGCGACATGGCGGCGCCATCAGAGAGAACATTGCAATGGGCAAAAAGTTGTTTAAGTCTACTATCATAGTACCGGTACCGGTACTCCTCCGACGTTATTCGACGTTTAAGGATTGCTAGGTGCTTAAAAGCTGTTTGATTAAGAATATATATACTGTAAAATACTGGAATAAAAGCGGATACGGATTACTCAGCAGCAGTTTCCAATCAAAACATAGAGCGAGAAAACCGACCACGTTCGATGGTCGCTGAGGTAAGCCTTAATATTCATTTTAAACAATTGTTCGATATCTTAATGAATTTGGAGACAACTGAAAAATACGTGAAACATCTCACGGCCCTTTACGAGTTGCGACCGAAGGAGTGTCCTTTAAACCAGGGCTACTCAACTATTTTTATCGAAGGTCCGCAAAGAAAACTGCAAAATTATTTGGGTCCGGTCTTTCCAGAAATGATATTTCGGAATCCACGAGCACTTCCTCGACCGACTAATGATAAGTAGCAAATTAAAATTGTTTATTATGGTGTTATAGTTCTTTTCGTATATATTCAAAACTATGAAAGTCATTTTATAATAGGAAATTCAAAAAGTGGGGCTAAAGATCCAAAATAAATAATTAGGTGCGGTCCAAATCCAATACTCGAAAGGTCCGGATTCGGACCGCGGTCCGCCAGTTGAGTAGCCCTGCTTTAAACAACTAGACCTTAATGATGAAAGGCGATTTCAACGCCGTCACGGGAAAAACTGGTGTTTTATATACAAATAATTTCAGGTTGTCCAAAGGCGAGAAAGTTTTGAAAAAATACATTTACGACGCTAATCTCATCGGCCCATACAGGGATAATTAAATAAACCCGTATTCACAATTAACGTCAGAAGCAAGCTCGCCGTATCGATAGATTTTACATTTCAGAAAACTCAGATATTCAGGTCAAATCATTCCAATACCACCCAAATCTAATCTCCGATCACACCCTATTTTTCGCCATTGAGATCAATAGCTACCGAAAAGTAAGATGGGGGAAAGGCACATGGCAGAATAATACTGCTCAC